TTTTATCTATTGTCTTATACGGTTGATAGGTTGGTATAACGCTCATATTGTACATCGCTTTCCATACATCATGTTGCTACAAATACTTGACAGTGGCGTGTCGACACAACTGTCTGGAAATAACATTACACAAGTTTGACGATAGCCTGTCGCTTGACGGCAAAAACATCTTAAACATTTTTATGGAAATTTAATGTCCAAAATAGTAAAATTCAGCTAACAATTTTATGATGGAATATAAGATCTATGTGATAAATGTTACAAGCTCACATGAGATTTGTTTCGGAAGCAATGTCCCCGTGCAGCGCAGCGGGTTCTCCGCCTGCCTCCGCCTTCCCCGGGGATCCCCGCCCGGCCCCGGTCGCTCTCCGCAAGAACCAACTTGAGATTAAACTATCATCGGTTTGTGTTTAATAAATTTAGTTTTATTTATGTTATCATGTTATTTCAATTGTAACTTTACTGCCTTTTGGAAATCAATCGTCCGCATTCTTTCGTTATACCCGATAAGGCTCGCATAACCGTTATGACTTGTTACATTATTCAAAACCTGTATTGAATATAGTTTTTTTTTTTTCGAATAAATACACACTTAGAATATGAACTAAGTTACATATTAAATAACTAATAATTATCAGCTCCAAAGATTGCACCGAGACTGCACCGAGATTGCACCGAGCTCAAAAACAAACTGCAAGGAATGAAAAATAACCAGCAAATTCTCTGCAAATAAGACGTTACTCAAAACAAAATTGCTGCTAAACGTTACGTAACTTTGCTACGAAATTAAAACACATTTACTTTTGTGTACTTTTGCAGAACGAAATGAAAACATAACATGAGTACAGTCGTGTGCGTAAATGTTGTAATTTAGCGAAGAGTTTCAGTTATAATAAAGGTTGCGAATAAACTTTTCAACGACTTCATACGGATTTTAATTTTAAAAATTTCGTGTTTTTCGATGCAGGCTAATTTTTGTAGTTATTTTTGTGTGACGTTCAAAATGTATGTTAAATGCAACCTTACTTGCAACAATCGCGAATTTTCTAGTGGTTTTTGAGTTTGGTTACTGATTTTTTTCAGGATAACATGAACGACGGGATGTTAAGAGTCGATTTCTACGTCGTTATTGCCGGCTGGTCAAGGGGCTGGTCCTTTCTTGTCACCCACGTCATCAGAACTCGCAAACGCCTCGTGTGTACCACTGCGCACACCGAGGGGTCGTTTAGTGGATAAGGATGATATCGTCTCGATTCTCATAAGATCCGCTTCTAATCCAGTCACCATATTTCCGCGCGTCATCTCAATTACCTCCCCCCCACGATTTACGGCTTCCTCTCCCCTACCCTCACCCCGTACCCGAAGGGTACCCGCTTAATCTGCCCTTTCCTCGCCATTTACAAATTGAAATATTATTTTAATTTCAGCTATCTTTCACTTTTATTTTCGCTATCTTAGTTACTTAACTTTGCGCTTAAAGTTTTTAAGACGTTAAATTAGAGGTTCAAGTAATTTAATGGCATTCAGAGATAAAGCAGAAACGACTTTAGAAACGTGAATGTTCTGTTGCTCGTTCTCTGGCATAGAAATTATAACTCTCTTGTTTATGGTACTTGATTCAGTCGGAAAGGAAAGATGTGGTTCTTTTGTTACTTTATTCAGGAGTACGACTAACATAAAGTTCAGGTTAACTCGTATATTTCGCTTCAACGCTGGGACATTGTTCTCGGTAGGTTCCATTTCGTTTAACGATCGCGCGCCGCCAAGAAATGGCTGTTATAAAAATAAAAAGCTGCGTCGTCTGACAGACGACAAATAAGCAGCAAACACGACGCAAATAAAAATTCTTGTAGCATCAGTAACAGGAGCCGTACAACTGTAGAACGTTGAAGAATGGACCACATATAACTCACAATCATACAAATATTTACTTATTTCTTTGTCTTTGTTTAATTAATTTTATTAAAACGTTAGCAGATAATTAAAACCTCATGATGACCCTCAACAGAGAGTAACCGTGGTGAAACACAATTGGCAGCAAATTTTGACAAAAAGTTAAAGTTTTTTCAAACATTTAAGTGGTTGAAGGCTGTCGAGCGGGCAGAGCGAGCTGAGAGCTGTGAGCAAGTCGCCGCTCAACATGTAGGTCAGCAACAGCCCTCAGCGGGCGGTGCATTACCGGCCGCCGCACTCGCCCGAACAAAAGCCATTGTGTGCTATCAAATGCATTGGAAATGTTGCAAGTGTAAGGCGAGTTCGATTTCTTTGTTAAATGTTTCGCGACCGGCTCCGCTAGTCTCCGAGAATATACTCTACAGCACTCTATGACACACATAGCTCTTGTAAAAATTGTGTACTTCTACAACATCTGTTTGTTAAAAGATGGCATTTGTTATCTTGATCATAAAAGACTAGCTTTTACCCGTGACTTTACGTGCGATATTAGAAAATATACGAACTATGTAAAACAAAAAAACTACTTATCTGACCTGACATTTTTCGGGGATGAACCTTATTCCATGTGTACTTCAGACGTCGTTTTATATCTATGCCAAAATTCAATAAGATATGTTGAACCGTTGGAGAATTATCGAGTAAACACTGAAAGAAAAATCTAAATCTTTATATTCCACGTGAATCATAACTATTTTCGGCAACAAAGGTAGCCTATATGTTCTTCTAGACTATCCACTACATCTATGCCAAATTTCATCCAGATCCGTTCAGCCGCTCAGGCTACAAACTCTAACAAACATCCATCTATTCATCTAAACTTTTGCATTCAGTTTTAAAGCAAGCCTGTTTAAAAAAAATCTGGTTGTGAAAAGAATGTAACAGTACTCGTCTAAAGCTCCAAATACGAAAATAATAAACTAGAAATACTTCGCGGAATCTCGAGACGAGAGTCGTCTTTAAGTCCATCAAATCTCATAAGACGCGGAGGATAAAGAGAAAGAAGTGTAACACAATTGGGTCAAGCAACACCCCCCCCCTCGCATCGCACCTCCCCCCGACCACCCCTCGCCCAACAGCAAGCCTTCCTCAGGGACAAGACAAAGCCACAGTAGCGCTGAATTAATCGCCTTCCTCAAAATGTTGGCCATTACTTACGAGCCGAGCGCGGATCGTGTGAAATTGCAGGCGATACAAATGTATCTGCGAATGAAATCTAAATTAAAACGGAGATAGTTAACCCGAATGACGTCATTCCGGCTGTTGATTTTTGAGAGTTGACAACCGAAATAATTGTAGAAGATAAGATTGTAGAAGTAATAGATTAATTACAACTTGCACTACTACTGCTATCACATAAATTGTAAATACTGAAGGTAATAGTTTGATTGTGATTTGTTGTATTCCAGCTAACAATTGTATGATGGTTGATTAACATTAACATTTCAATCCATTGCAAATCGAGAATGAAGTAAATACAACAAAATTAATATTGTATCAGGGTATTATAAATCACAATTAGTAATTTATGTATCTGGGTCGTCGCTTCAACAAACAAACCATTGTACGCCGTCAGCTGTTTGTTCCACAGCGCTGTTTCACAAACAAATGTAATAAGATTGATTAATTATTAAAAATTTCGCAAGGATTAGGTGAAATTAGGAAATCTATACTTATCTCTGGTAATGTATGTTACCAAGACATTTAAGAAATACATAGACTGGACATACTGAACATCATTTTTTTACCGCTAACTTCTTTGAAAGGTATTGTTGTCCTTGTATTACAACTTACAAACATTTTTCAAAATAATAATAAGCTCCGTCTTTTGTTAAAAAATAAAATATAAACATGATTTAGTGACACCTATTGGCATTTCGGTTAAATAGAATAATTATGTATATTATATTAACATGTGTTTTTGAGGGTCATTTGAAAAATATCTGAAATGAAGTGTCAACTTTGCTTCCACTATATATTTTTTGCTTCTCTTTGGTTATTACCCAAGATTATTATCTCATCTACAGAGATCGGTACAGACCGATATCTAGTTATCACACAACTGAGACAAAATTATTTCTATGCACGATCCCAAGTTATGTGTTATTTCAGAGATCTAATCCACAGATTAAATCGACCAGTAACTCACATCTTAATGTGACCAGAAGGGAGGGTGAACATCTGAAGAAAGCCGGACAATGCCCGGCCGGTCAACGTCACCCGGGTATGGTATTTACCCGGCGGATATTCAAATCGGACCCTAGCTTGATATTACTTACTCTAGGGGACGCGGTTTATTTCCATACCTTTTTTTCCTTTTGATTAAATTCCTAGAAGCGTAATATCCATTTTTTTTAAAAAATAGGATTGTTTGCTTTATAATACATACATTAAAAATATATAACAGCTAATGTACAAAACAATGGAAGATGTAAACGAAATCTTAGCGATATTCTGCAAAATGTGCTGAACACTAACAGCCTTTTGCTCCAACTAATTGGAGTATTTTATGCGAATACGATTTAAACGATTCTAATTCTAGGAAGTCTAAAATGATTAGTTGTATCGTAATCTTAGCAGAGACAATCTCAACTGTTTGTATTTATGTACATACTAGCTTACGTCCGCGACTCCGTCCACGCGGGAAAAAAACAAAAGAAAGTAGCCTATAATCATCGAGACTATCCTCTACATCTGTGACTTCTATCGAGATCCGTTCAGAAGTTTAGGCTACAAACTCTAACAAACATTCATCCATGTAAACTTTCGCATTTATAATATTAGTACGATTTAAACAATCTCATCTGTCACAAAAACTAAACTAGATTGAAGCGAATTCCTTTTTTTTGTATTTGTAAACAAAGTAATTTACAACAAGATGAGAAAAGAGTTCACAAAATCAAGCTCAAGTAATATTAGAACACTTGGGTATTAGAAGGTAACTCATTATTCTTCAGGAAACACAACATACATACACAATATGTCATATTTGATAGCAAAGTTCAGTCATCAAACAGTGATAATGATAATATGTGAGGGATACTCACCGGTGCGGAGTACGCGGTGCTGGAGTGGAAGAACACGCGCGACACTGACGTGCGGGCACACCGGCTGCCGCTACCACACTGCCCCTACCCCTACAGGATTGAGCAGAGCACGCAACCCCTCCCCCTGCACCTCAGTATCATCCCCCTCCAGGCACTATGTAGCGGGTCGCGGGAACAGGAGCAGTAAATCGGGATTCGGGATCGGGCGATCGTTACGCAACGACCCAAACCTATACCACGATATCATTACTTCAAATTTTATCTATTATCTAATTCTTCGCCATCATAAATAGACACTTTCCTGAACACACTCCAGCGATCGATGAACGACATTGTAAACCAGAACCTTTTTGTCATGTTAAGAGGTTTCCTACCTAATGCAAACTATGTTATACATATGAATGTAACATAATTGCGTTCTAATGTTATCACCTTGAAACTGCAACGCGTAAGAATCATTGTAATGTTAAGTACCCGTCCTTTGATGCCAAGCACTATAAGTACTTGGGCACTTGTTCACTAGTAGAACTAGCGACAACAGAACTGGGTTTTAGCACTTGTTCTGTTTGTTACTTGTCACTGAGTCAGTTAGCATGGCGCAGTCGCCTCTCGCCTCGATATGTTCCCTCGCGTTGCCGACATTACTGCTTCTACTAGTAAGACTATTTTATGATCGAACACTGGCCTAATCCTAACTTCAAAGTCGCCGCCGCCTCATGTAAATGTTTTAACTTTCCAGAGCACTTGCTGCGACGGCAATCCTCTCGGCCTCTTCAGTCTGTTTAATCCAGTGTAAGTATCCCTTTGTGCTATTTAACTGCAGGAGGCATATTGGAAATAATGTGTTGTACGTGTGTCTGTGCTCGTTGCAGTGGCTTGGCCAACAGCACCTCGCTGCTGGGGGCGCTGGCACTGGCGCACGCGGAGCACACTGTCGCCAAGTTGAACGCGCTCGCCGCACTCGCCGGTATCTTCACCAACGATACCCTAGGTCACTACTGCTTACTTATTATTACTTCTTTCTTAAGATACGTAGTTCAATGGTCCTTTACTTGTCAATCCAATTTTAACCAATTTAACCCTTTAAAGCCAGTGTGGTCTCCAGTGGGCCAGCCAGTGGGGTGTGGATGGTAGACTTCTCTGATATAGATTATACCTTTCTTTATTTTTGTTTTCATTATAACAATATAGAAACACACTATACTTACAGGTTTCTTTGGCTAAAAGAGTAGTGCGCGGCGCGGCGACACAGTAGCAGCGCAGCCTACCTTTGTAGAAGAACTCACTTACAGTACTCTGCGTTAAATAAAGAAGCAATAAAAAACAATATAGTTACAATTTATTAGACTAGTATAAATATGTAAAGATACAAATTATGTTATTCTTAAATCGGTACCTAGTACTAATAAGTGTAAATATAACGGCGCTAAATGATTGTTAATTTTTTGTACCATTAAAATTACAATCGTATAATAATTATAATTGCTGGCATCATAAGAAATTATTTTGAATTGGTATTGTAATTTGTGTTTTTTAACAAACAACCCTTAATAGTATAGTGCCACAAGACTCTTGTCTTGCACCTTTTAGACATTGAGAGGATGGCGCTTCTGAGCATTTAGGGTTACCAGTAAGGTAATATGTCCGCATTAAAGGGAAATTCTTTCCTTCTGAAAACGAAAACGCAAATTTTAAAGGAAATACTTGTGGCTTGCAATGTAACTAGGAAATGCCCCAGACTTCGTTTGTCGGTTAGAAGGCTCTATAGTTAAGAATCTTTGTAGCAAACTTTTAGCAATGCACTCCCTTGAGACAGTTAGGGAAGGAATAGTCTTACTTAGCCCTCATCTACAGAATAATAGAAATCTTAATTTCTGTTGTTTACAATCAACGCACAGTACAACTATGTGGTTAGTTTATGATACATTAATGAGTACACACAGTAATTTCCTTAATACGTAAGTCATTATGAAATTAACGTCAAGAAGGCCATACTCCATACTTCCAGGTGCACAAAACACGTTACAATAATGGGTCGGTCACTACAAATTGAAGTAGGAAATAAAACAACTTTCAGCAAAATATTTTTAAGTCAGTTAGTACATAACTCTTTTTTTTTAATTACAAATTCAAAAATATGGGTCGCCTTGAAAGTTAGGGAATTTCTTGATTAACACATGGTAATGCAACAGATACAAGATGATTCACATTTTCAAATGTAATTACTGGACCCCCTACTTCTCAGAATTAAAAATATCTCCCAATAAAAAAAAACTATCTTGCACTACTTTTAAATAATTTCATTGCTTTATTTCATGGAATAACATTAAAAAGCAACACAAAATCCGTAAACTAATAACGCGAAGTGAAGTGACAAGCTATGTCATTATTACCCTGACATTAAATGTCACTTCTTATTGCCGGATACCAAAAGAGTCATGTACTTCTATATCAACCCATCTGTCAAAATGTCCAGGCAGCGATCGAAATAATAATAGTAAACGATGACAGTTGTCATTGCATGGTGGAATGATGCGCTTTGGTTGTGCGCACGTATAAAGTCAATTGATTCGAGTTTCAAGTTTTCGATTAGCGACGTGCGCTATGCGCTATGTGCATAACGCGGTATGCGATTTTTACAGTGGTAGTGCCCGCTTTAACATCTTAGCACGAATGGGCCGGCA